CCAGCGAGGTTGTGCTGACCTATCTGCACTAATCCCATTTTCCAGCAATTGGCCCATAGCTTTGAATGTTATGACATTACAAATGTTTATCCATGTCCCTAAAGGGGTGTGAGATTTACTGTCTCTTCTGCCCTCCCAGGCAGTGCATTCCAGAGATCTCTGCACCCCTCACCCCCACCAGCTGAGAAAACAGAATAGTTCCTCCTGGTGGCATTGACAACATTCCATGGGATTATCCCATCAGTTTTAAACTTGCTGTCTGTGGGAGCCTGTCCCACAAGGACTGACTTCTGCATGCCCAAACAGACAATAAAGCAAAAATGCACTTCAATAGTTTTGAGGTGCCCTGACACAAGTTTCTTATTATCTTGCCAAGGGAATTGAAAAATGTTATTATGACACAACTTCCAAGTACGTAGGAGTTTCCAAAGTATTCTTTGTTCCCAGAGCTCACTGCCAACAGTTTCCTAACTGCTCTGTGCTTGCAGCCAATTCTTAGTGGTCATAATTGCTGAGGATTCCATAAAATGTCGAAGTGGTAGGCCATTCAGCCCATCGAGTCTGCTGTGCCAGGAAATGAGATCGTGGCTGACCCCATGATTCTCAACTCCACTTTCCTGCCTTTTCCTCATAACCCTCGATTCCCTTACTGATTTGAAATTGAAAGGCATATTTTTATTCTCCCAGCTTCTCTGTTCTATAACATGAGCACTTCTGGCGGAAATTTCTCAACCCTTCCCCTTTCAGCTGTCCTGCTCCTTACGGACCCTTGATCAGCCCCTTTGCCCCCAGCAATTTCCATGCAAGCGCAGGACGTGCAACACCTGTCTTTTTACTTTCTGTCTTTCTCTCTCCTCTCACTGAAAAGCCTCCATAAACTCCTCCCAACAGTTTATTTGTATTTCTTTCAATTTAGCGCTCTCTACATTCGCTGTTCACAGCGCAGCCTCCTCTACACAGAGCACACAACAGTTCAGCACAGGCCTTTTGGCCCATAACGTTGCACTGAACAGGACGCCATTGTGGGGATCACACAGAGTGGGGGACAGCTTTGTGGAACAAGGGTGTTCAGTCTGTAATAAAGGCTTCCAGTGCAGAAAGTGGTGGAGAATTCAAACTATAGTTCCCACTCCGACTTCAGCCTTCAGCGAAGCACGATGCAATCTTGAGGAACCTTTGATTGGGTACATCACACCCTCCTGGTTGAGTTCGGGCTGTGTAACGCTGCCCCCTCCCCCATTTTGTTTCTCCAGCTGCAGACGCTGCTCCTTGTCACGTTGACACCTACGCACACCCACTTCACCGCGGTGACAACGCTTTAAAAGCACTTTGTTTGGCAGCCGAGGGCTTTCAGATGGTTACGATAAACTTTTCCTTATTAAATCTCAGGAATGTGGGCATCGCTGGCTAAATCAGCAGTTTTTTGCCCATGCGCGAGTGCCCCTTGAGAAACAGGAAGTAGGAAGGGTAAACCATTCAGCATGTCAAGCCTATTTTCTGCCATTCAACATGACCATCCAACTCAGTAACAGTCAAAAATTTCTGTTTCTCTCTTTGTTTCGGATCTCCATCATCCACAGTTCTTTGTTTTATTTCAGCATCCAATTCTATCCCCTGTTCCCACCTTAGCCCCCCTCCACCCCCCCACCCCACATCCTTTGATGCCCATTGCCTCAAGAACGATATCTAACTCCTTCCTGACAACATTCAATATTTTGGCCTCAGCTGCTTCCTGTGGCAGAGAATTCCACAGGATCCCCACTCTCTGGGTGAAGAAATTTCACCTCATCTCGGCGCTAAAGTCCTCCCTGGTATGTTTAGACTCTGACGCCCTGCTTCTGCACTCCCCAGTCATCACAAATATCCTTTCTGCATTTACCATGTCTAGTCCTGTCAGAACTTTGTAGGTTTCTATAACATTTCCCCCCAACTCTTCTAAACTCCTAACTGATCCAGACCTTTCTCCATACGTCAGTCCTACTAAGCCAGGAAGTGGGAACTTCTGCAGTCCTTGGAATGCAGTTTCAACCACACTGCTTTTGAGGAGGGAGCCTTGGGATTACAAACACAACTTTAGTTAAAGTTCTAAATTGGAGGAAGGCCAATTTCGACAATTTTAGACAGGAACTTTCAAATATTGATATGGGAGGAGACTGCTCGCAGGTAAAGGAATGGTTGGAAAGTAGGAAGCCTTTAAAAATGAGATAAGGAGTTCAGAGACAGTATGTTCCTGTCAGTGTGAACGGCAAGGCTGGCAGGTACAGGGAATTCTGGATGACTAGAGAAATTGAGGCTCTGAACAAAAAAAGGGAGATATTTATCAGGTATTTACAGCTGGGATTGAGTGAATCCCTAGAAGAATATAAAGGGCAGTAGGAGTACGTCCAAGGGGGAAATCAAGAAAGCAATACTGGGACATGATTAACTTTGGCAAAAAGAGTTAAGGAGAATCCAAAGAGATTCTATAAATACATTAAGGGCAAAGAAGTAACTAGGGAGAAAATAGGGCCCCTTAAAAATCAAGGAGGCTGGCTACGTGTGGAACAATAGGAGATGGGTGAGATACTAAACCAGTATTTTGCATCAGTATTACTGTGGAGAAAGACATGGAAACCAGAGAACCTGGGGAAATAAATACTGATATCTTGAAAAGTGTTCGTATTACAGAAGAGGTGGTGCTGGAGGTCTTAAAATGCATAAAAGGTAGATAAATCCCCAGGACCTGATCAGGTGTTTCCCAGAACTTTGTGGGAAGCCAGGGAAGAGATTGCTGGACCCCTTGCTGAGATATTTGTATCATCGGTCGCTGTGGGTGAGGTGTCGGAAGACTGGAGGTTGGCTAACGTGGTGCCATTATTTAAGGAAGACTGTAAGGAAAAGCTAGGGAACTATTGACTGGTGAGCCCTACCTCACTGGTGGGTAGGAGACAGTAGACCTGCAGATACTGGTGTCTGAGTCGATACAGTGGGGAGCTGGAGGAACACAACAGGTCAGGCAGCATCAGAGGAGTAGGAAAGTTGACGTTTCTGAAGAAGGGTTCCGACCCGAAACGTCGACTTTCCCACTCCTCTGATGCTGCCTGACACGGTGTGTTCCTCCAGCTCCACACTGTATCAATCAATGGTGGGTAGGTTTTTGGAGGGGATTCTGAGGAATAGGACTTGCATGTATTTGGAAAGACAGGGACTGATTAGGGATAGTCAGGATGGCTGCGCGTGTGGGAAATTGTGTCTCACTAACTTGATCGAGAGTTTTTTTTAAAGAAAGTGACAAAGAAGATTGACAAAGGCAGAGTGGTGGACATTGTTTATAAGGGACAAGATTTTTGACAAGAGTCCACATGGTAGACTGGTTAGCAAGGTTAGATTACATGGAAGACAAGGTGAGTGAGCCAACTGGAGACAAAGTTGGCTCGAAGATAGAAGACAGAGGATGGTGGTAGAGGGTTGCTTTTCAGACTGGAGGCCTGTGACTAGTGGTGTGCCACAAGGATCGGTGCTGGGTCCACAGCTTTTTGTTATTTATATGAATGATTTGTACGTGAACATAGGAGCTATGGTTAGTAAGTTTGCAGATGACACCAAAATAGGTGGCATAGCGGACAGTGAAGAAGGTTACCTCAGAGTACAACAGGATCTTGATCAGATGGGCCAATGGGCCGAGAAGTGGCAGACAGAGTTTAATTTAGATAAATGTGACGTGCTGCATTTTGGAAAGGCAAATCAGGGCAGGACTTATATGGTAAATGCTAGGGGCCTGAGGAGGGCTGGCAAACAAAGAGACCTAGGATTGTTCCTTGATAGCAGAGTTGTAGGTAGACAGAGTAGTGCAGAAGGCATTTGGTACAGTTGACTTCACTGGTCATAACATTGAATATAGGAGTTGGGATGTCATGTTGTGGTTGTACAGGACATTGATGAGGCCACTTTTGGAATACTGTGTGCAATTCTGGTCATCTTTCTACAGGAAGGATATGGTTAAACTTAAGAGGGTGCAGAAAAGATTTACAAAGGATGTTGCTGGGGTTGGAGGGTTTAAGCTATAGGGAGAGGCTGCATTGGCTAGGGCTATTTTCCTTGGAGCATCAGAGACTGAGCGGTGACCTTCAAGAAGTTTACAAAATCGTGACAGGCATGGACAGCCAAGGTATTCCTCTTAGGCTGGGGGAGTCCAAAACTAGAGGCCATAGGTTTAAGGTGAGAGGGGGGGGGGAAGAGACTGAAAAGAAACCTAGGAAGTAACTTGCTCACCCAGAGGGTGCTGCGTGTAATGGAATGAGCTGCCAGAGGACGCAGTGGGGACTGTCTGGGCCAAATGCTGGCAAGTGGGACTAGAGGTCAAATTGGGCTATCTGGTCTGCACGGACAAAGTGAACCGAAGGATCTGTTTCCGCGCTGTACACCTTTATGACTCTATTGCTCTTCTGGACTCATTTACTTTCACGTCTCATTACTATCCGTTAGCTGCACTTTGACCCTTTAATCATTTAATCCTCCCTGACATATATACCTTTCACTTTTTGCCCTGCAGCCTCCCACCTTTGTACTGGCTTCGTGATCTGTCACAACTTGATCTGTTGTTCCAGCTCCTTTGGAACATCAGCAACCTGAAATGTTAACTCTACCTCCTATGCGTTGTGTTTTCTGTTTCTGTTTTGTTTAACTGAGACCTACAATTATGCCAGAGATAGCAAGGAACTGCAGATGCTGGAGAATCTGAGATAACGGTCTAGGCACCGAAACGCCAGCCTTCCTGCTCCTCTGATGCTGCTTGGCCTGCTGTGTTCATCCAGCTGTACAACTTGTTATCCTACTACTATGCCAACGGCTTTTGGAACAGCAGAGTCTTAGGAGCTGAGCAATGTCAGTCAGGTTCAAGACCTGGGGGGGGGGGAACACAGATCAAAGGGGAGAGGGAAATCCAAGCTCTGACAAATAATGCACACGAGGGAAGGGTTATAAACACAATAAAGAAACAAAAAAAAACTTTGCAAACTCACTTCTGAAGCCTCCCCGTTCGGTGCCGGCTCTGGCAGCAGGTTGCTGGCCACGCATTTTTCCAGGAGAGAAGAGGAGAAACCCCCGCAATGAAAACGCTGTCTCCAGCACTGCTTGGCTGCTTGGTGCAGGAGGAGAGCCGAGAACAAGGAGCCGCGTCCAGCCATTGCTTCCTGCCTGTGGGAACACCGCGTCTCTCCAGCAGCGCAGCGGAATAGAACACCGGCCCGGGAATCGCCTGTCAATCATCAAGGGGCTGCCGCACCAGTACGCATGCTCGCCAGCGCCCTGCATGCCGGGACTTGTAGTTCCTCCTGTGCGCAGTGCCCATTGAAAGTCAGCGGCCGCGCGGAGGCTGGGAACTACAAGCGCCCTCTTTCGACCCCCCCTCGCAATGTACGGGCGTTGCTCACGCGTACGGCCTTATTTGGAAGGAAATTTCACTCCCCTTTCCCCCCCCACAAAACTTATTTTCTATATATGATAGAGGGCGGAGAGATGGTGCCCCACCCTTTTAAGTGTGCGGTGTTTGTAATTGAAATACTGTACAAAAGCTGCATTAGCCTTTTGCCCTCGTAGTGACGAAGCAAACATAGACAGTGAGAGAGGTCTGACTTTCAGCCTTCGTAAGACTTCTCTTCAACTTTAAGGGACGCATTCTCTAGAGGTATGGGTGGGAAGCGATTTGTGCAGAATGCGCCTCTCATATGTCAAAGGACTCATGCCAGGGCTACTGCCCCCAACTTCAGTGGGGCATATATTCCTGGAACTGGCACATTTGCAAATCTTCCTTGCTTCGGTCCTATTTCCTGCAAGAGTTGATAAACATCTCTGCTCCAGTTTCTCATGCCAACTGGAAGTAAACAGATTTATCATGAGGCTAAATTTTTTTTTAGCTTTTAGTCAAACAGCATTCCCTCTCTCCACCTTCTCCATTACATTTATGACTAATAAAAGGGCTCAAAGAGATTTTTTTTGTTTTAAGTTTCTCAGTTTTGTTCATTGCACCTTTATTTTCTATTGAAGTGTTCAGAACAGTATCATGGGGAAGATTAGATTTTCCATCCTGACAATGCCAGACTAGGGCAGTCTTGGAGGACTGGTAAATCTAATCTGAGTCCTTGCTTGGACATGGATTGCACTGGTAAGGGAGCGATAGGATTAGAATTAGATTGTATTGTCATGTGTACTCAAAAGTATAGGAATACAGGAGTACAGCGAAAGGTGCACAAGTTGCTATTCTCTAGTGCTATCTTGGTTTTTCTTTTATTCATTCATAGGATGAGGGCGTCGCTGACCAGGCAGCATTTATTGACCATTGCTATTACCCAGAGGGCAGTTAAGAGTCAACCATATTGCTGTGGCTCTGGAGTCACATGTAGGCCAGACCAGGTAAGGATGGCAGTTTCCTTTCCAAAGGGACATTAGTGAACCAGATGTGTTTTTCTGACCATCGACAATGGACTCATGGTCATCATTAGATTCTTAACTCCAGGTTTTTTTTATTAAATTCAAATTCCACCATCCGCCGTGGCAGGATTTGAACCCAGATTTCCAGAACATTATTTACACATTTGATTACAAAACCGGAATAACAAAACAGTAGAAATGAAAGAAACAAAGCCGAAAGGAATGGAAAATGTCCAGACATTAGCATCTTATTTAAGTCTTATCTCCATGTTAGCACCACATATGTAGCTTGACCTTCAGTTTAATTTACTAGATCGAAGGTTAGGGACTGAAGACCGACAATTTCCTGACAAGTGTTTCCTACAATTGTCACTGTTCACTTGGCATCACTTAGGGTGAAAATAAGATTTTCTCCGCACCCTGTGCTGTGACACATTTCGTTTGACAGCTAAGAGTGCTGGACAAAAAAGTATTATATGAGCAATCCTCACCATTCACCATTTTAACGTATGTTTCCTTCTGCACTATTATCTCTCACCGTGGGTTAGATTTTCTGCCATCATCCTCTTGTTGGGATAAGGATCGACAGGTAGAGAAAAAAAAATTGCTAAACTAATTAGAAGAGGCTTTTAAATAAGATGTAGTTTATTGAATGTTAACAATGAGATACAAGTGACCCTGCTATGATACACATTGTTATAGAGTCCATGATGTAGGCATGGATCATACCGATCCTTAGCTGTTCTCCCACACAATTTGTATGACATAAATTCCTACAGTGGGGAGGAGACCATTTGGCCAATTGAGTCCACACTGACCCTCTGCAGATCATCCCACCCTATCATTCTGCATTTCCATCTAGATCACACCTCCCTGGACAATTTAGCATGGCCAATCCAACTAACCTGCACATCTTTGCACTGTGGGAGGAAACCCACACAGACACAGGGAGAACATGCAAACTCCACACAGACAGTCGCCTGAGGCTGGCATCAAACCTGGATCCCTGGTGCTGTGAGGCAGCAGTGCTAACCACTGAGCCACCAGGTCACCCCTGCGCTTTATAGTGGATGCCGTCTAAGCCATTATACTGTATTAATCCTCTCAACAACACTGCAAAAATGTCTTCGCAGAATACCAGAATTAAAAAGACAGAAACTGATTTTAAAGTTACGAGTTTGATATGACCAGTCTCTAGAGTACCAGAATTGATTGGTTATTAACCTTGGGAAGGATTGAACTAAACTCGGGCCCTTTGCTCCAGAAAAGAGAAAGCTGAGTCGTACTTTTGAAATTATGCGAGGCTGACAGGGTAAGCACAGGCATTTACGCATGACAAGATTGTCCAAAGGATGTGGGATCAAATCTAGTGATGATTGGAATTACTGAAATATGAGAACTGTTCCTCAATCCAGTTACAGCAGAAGGACACATAGCTCTAGGGTATGCAGGAATGAGGGCTTTAGATTCCTTGGGGAGGGGGTGTTCAGTTTTGTAGGACGTTCAAATTCCAGTTGGGTTGGACTTCAACAGAACCACAGTCAATGTTTTGTAGGAAGTTCACAGGTGCTGTGGAGAGAGCTTTAAACTAAATTGGCATGCAAAATGAACATGAAGAAATAAGGTGAACAAAAGACTGAGGGAGACAGTTTTAACACTAGTGTGATTAGGTGGGATCAGACCAAGAGCAAATTCAAAAACATGTTACATAGGTTTATGCTGCATGTGCTCAACTGTATCAAATAAATTTTGGGTCTCTGGAGTCACTGGACCCGAAGCGTTAATATTACTTTCTCTCCAAAGATACTGCCAGAGCCACTGAGTTTTTCCAGCAATTTCCAACTCTGCACAAAATAATGTTGGTGAACAGCAGGTGCAGTATACCACTTGGGAATTGCGATGACAACTGTGTTTTAGCTCCATAGGGGACAGGATTGGATATCAAATTAAAGCAGGAAGTGCTGGAGAAAGTCAGCAGGTCTGGCAGAATCTGTGGAGAGAGAAACAGAGTTAACGCTTTGAGTCCACTGACTCTTCAACGTTAACTGTTTTATCTCTTCACAGATGCTGCCAGATCCCTACTGAGTTTCTCCGGAGCGTCCCTTTTCTTAAAATTTCAGAACTGCAACATCTGCAGTATCTTGCTTTTATTAAATATTGAATACTCCAGGATGCATGGTTCAGGAAAAATAGATGAAAGAAAGGAGGAGGATTGATTGAAGATATTGGTCATGATTCACTGGTTTTCAGTCCATGTGTGGGGGCAGGTGTATTCAGTGGTAATTTACACATCATCCCAATGGCTGAGAGAATAGCCTACATTGCATAACAATCAGCTTATTAGGAGCTGCAATGGTTATAACCATTGTTTATCTCTGGACATGATTGTACTTTAATTGTAATATACATTTTTTTTTAACAAAAGAGGAGATGCAGCCAAAAGATGATTCTGGTTATGAATTTAGTGGCTGTCGGGGGAGGAAACCTGGAATGTCACAGTCAAGGAAGCTTCTGAGGGAGAAACACATTCCAATAGAACTGTAATCTCCTGTGATCATACTAGATTTTGAACATGATGGGAGAAAAGACAGCAGTCTGGGTATAAGACACATTTGTCCTTTCAGACCTCTTCCAGCGATGAATATTTCATGCAAGAACTTTACAGAACTGCCCAAAACAAAGTAAAATTGAAGTAAAAGTCAGTCTGTTTGGTATATTTTTGCTGGCAGGGGAGAACGGGGTGGGCTGTGAGCTTGTGCCCCTCCCATTTCTGACATGGTCAGCCCCATTGCCATGGGTACAAATCTCCTAACTCGCTACGACATTTGTGGAGTTGGGTGAGGGATCCCAAGCATTCATGGCTCACAGCCTCTCAGAGGAGTCATAAACTATGGTCTGGTTGCTGACAGATAATGTGGAAAGGTCACCATCTTTGTGTGTTTTACCTGAGAGCTAAAATTTTTATTACTTTGTTGAGATGGGCGCACAGGAAGGAAAGTATTGTTTGACTGTTAGTTTCCTTACCTCTTGTGATCTATTTTGTCACTGGCTCAATATTTATAACACTAAATAAATAGGTGTCAATTGGCTAGAATTTCTGTTAAGAGCAGGAATGTTAAATACCCTCTCTTGGCACCAGGCAGTCTCTATGACCACCTCTGATCTGGGGTCAGCTAGACCTCTTGCTTGGAGCAGAATTAGTACCATTTGGGGCATTTATTTTCCAACTTGAGCCACTCCCCCTTCCCCACCCAGTGATGGATGAAAATTCATCTCTGTAACTTAAATGGTATGGAAATGGCTAGAAACGAAGGCCTGGGACAAAATTAGCAGTTATTTGGACCAGTGCAGATTAATTAAGGAAAGCCAGCATTAAATTCTTAAAGGCAAATCACAATGAACGAAGAGATAATGGGGACTGCCGATGCTGGAGAATCTG